TCAGTAATATCATCGTGGTTATCATCAACATCTTCTTCTTCATCTTCATCTTCTTCTTCTTCATCATCTTCTTTTTCTTCTTCATCGTCACCCGGGATATTTCTCAGTAGCATCAGCTCGACATATTGGACATGTTCTATTTACCTACGTTGGTTGATTTTGTTGATGTTGTTGGAGAGAGAGAGAGAGAGAGAGAGAGAGAGAGAAAGAGAGAGAGAGAGAGAGAGAGAGAGAGAGAGAGAGAGGAGAAAGAGATACACTCTAAAAAGTTAGATAAATAAAAAAACATCAGTCGCAAAAATATCCATACTAAGAAAACAATGAAAAAAATTTATGTTACTCAAACAAACCAGTCAACCCACACAAAACACACACACGCACGCACACGCACACATACACACACACATACACACACAAACCTTCAACCACTTATTAATGCAGGCGGTATGAAACTCGTGAGCGCAGGGCAGCGACCTCAAATGGTGCCCCAGTTCGAACTCGCTCATGCAGACGACACACGACGTCTGATTGCGAGCTGATTGGTCGGAGCCGGGGTTATACTGGTAGGTCGGCAGAAGGTCAAGGTCGTACTGATTGAGGCCTCGAGATTTTCCTTCGCCAATCCGGTCGGCCAGGTTTAATAGGGCCTGGAGAGATGAAGTTTATGTTAGGAATTGAAAATAGGGGAAAAATTTAAACTTGAAAAAAGTTGTCTTTAACAACAACAAACAATAAATAAATAAAATAAAATATGAATGGTGTAATTATGAATGCTGTAATTATGAATGAATAAACGAAAAGCAGCTACAAACACATACAAACACGTACACACATACGCACACGTACATGCACACACACACATACACGTACATACACACGCACACGCACGCACGCTCACAAGTTAAGTTCACTTGAGAATCAGGGCATACAATGCATGCATACAATCAGATGTGAGTTGAGTGAGGTGAATGAACTGTTGCCAAAACAAAAATAGCAATAACAATAATATTATTATTATTAAATGAATAATAATAACAATGCTATCATCATCAACATTGCCATAATCATCACCACCATCATCATCATCATCCTAATTATCGTCATTACTACCCCATCATCATCATCAGCAGCAGCAAAAACTTCATCCTCCTCATCATCATCATCACCATCATCAACCTAACTATCGTCATTACAATTTCCATCATCATCATCATCATCACCACCATCGTCGTCTTCTTACTCATCATCATCATCATCATCATCACCACCATCGTCGTCTTCTTACTCATCATCATCATCATCCTAATCATCGTAATCGTCTTCTTACTTACTTCATAATTGTCGATATCAGTTGTCTCATCATAGTAATTTATGAGATTCATTCTGTAGTGGGCCGGTCTACTTGGTCTACCCAACATGGCACTGAGGAAAAAATTAATTAATTAATTACTAACTAACTATTTAATTAGGTTATCTTTTCACTCATTCATTTGCCCCTACAATCGATCGCTCCTTCAGTCAATTAGTCATTCATTAATTCTTATCTTTGTTTACTTTATCATTCATTCATTCATTCATTCATTCATTCATTCATTCACTCACTCACTCATTCATCAGTCAACAAATTTATTAGTTTAATTTTTATTTACTAACATAAACCCCCCCCCTCAAAAAAAAACAATCGAACAAAAAACAAAAAGAGAGTAAACAGAAGACCAAAAAAAAAACAAAAAAAAAACCATAAACAACAAACGAATCGGGGGAAAACCCACAGGAAGTGGAGTAAAAATCCGGGATACTGTGTGGGGGAGGGTGAGGGTATGGGCTGCCACCTGGGTCTCATAGCATTGGACGTCAGAGTGCTGCTAGTAGAGCTATTATTTGCGACTCGCCTGAAGCGAGAAGTCGGATTCTAGGCGGGGAGGGAAAAAAAAGTTTAAATTAAATTAATTAAATTGAATAAAAATTTAAAGTAAATAATTTAAATGGCAATATTGTACTACAAATTGTTATTACTGCTTACTTGGAGATAATTAATTATAATAAAAAAATAAAGATAATAACGATAATAATTGATAATAATAATTAATAAATTTAAAGATAGTTAATGATAATAAAAAATGAAGATAATAACAATATTAATTAATAATAATAATTAATAATAATAATTATTATTATTACTATTATTATTATAATTGTATCACCAACAAAAATATCATGTTCAGTGTGGAGGATGTGATGTTCTGGTAGATAGACAGGAGCATGAGGTAGTTGTTGTAGCAGTGGATGTAACGATTGTTGCTGCTGTTGTTGTTGTTGCTGTTGTTGTTGTTGCTGGGTTGCTTGAAAAGTTGCTTGTTGTTGCTGATGTAATTGTTGTTGTAATTGATGTTGTTGTTGTTGATGATGATGTTGCTGATGATGCAATTGTTGTTGATGTATATGCTGGTGAGATAATCTTCTCATATGTTGATATATTTGAGTGTTGTTGTTGTTGCTGCTAGTGTTATTGTTGTTGTTGTTTGCTTGCTGCTGCTGTTGTTGTTGAGGAATGTTTAAGTATGGCAAATCATCCTGTATCTAGTGTGATATAACAATGTAAATAATTATAAATATGGAGGTGATTCATTAGGAACTAAAAAAAAAAATTATTAACATGTGATTGTATAAATATATATTTATATATATATATATATATATATATATATATATAACATAAACACGCACATATGAACACAAAAACACACACACACAAACACACATACATACATTATATATACATGCATTGCATATGCAACATACATACATACAAACAAATAAAACAAACATACATACATACATGCATGCATACATACATACATATATCTTGTACCTTCACTGATTTCATTTATAATAGAGAACGCTTTCAAGAAATTTCCATTTTATAATGCGCTTAATAAATTGTTGATAATAATAATACATACATACATACAAACAAACAAACATACAGACATTCCAGCATCAAACTAATGAGCAATAACTGTTTCATGGAAAAAAAATTTGAAACAAAAAAAGCTCAAAACAATATTTATTAATTAGACAAATAAGTTTATATAGCACGCAGTTACTATCAATAAACCTCCAAACATCCATGCAAACATCCATACACTACACACATACATACATACAAACATGCATACACACACACATGCATACACACTCGCACACATACAAACATATACAACAAACTAATTAACAATAAAAAAAACAACAAAAAAGAGTAGTATAAATACAATGAAATGCATATGCGTAGAAAGTGATCTTTGCATATTTTTTTGTACCTATGTGTGTTTGTTGTATTTTTGTATGTATGTTTTTTTTATTTATTTTTGAAGGATGACCAAAAAAGATAAACCCTTAACTAAAATTTCTAACTATAGATGTAACAGAAATGTCATGAAATACATACACATAAACTCACGCTCACACATACTTACAAACACGCACCATACTACAATTCATATCACAATACTGTTATACAGAACTGGAGAAACAGAATCAATGAAATGAAATGATCTGGAAACCAAACATACGCTCACTTACACACTCAAATAAATAGACACATAAACAAATATGGCCACACACCATACACATATAGGGCGTGGCCACATGTCTCAGGGAACAGCCGAGTGAATGGACATCTTACACATAGATATGTGCCCCTCCACATACACCCCCGCTGTACGCTCCTAGAATACAATATTTATATACATAAATACACATATCTACACTTATACATGCACACACACAGACACACGCACACTCACACACACATAATGTACATGTATGTATGTATGTATGTATGTATGTATGTATGTATGTATGTATGTATGTATGTATGTATGTATGTATGTATGTATGTATGTATGTTTGTATGATTGTTTGAATGTATGTCTATATCATTATGTGAGTACATTAAGTGATATATGGAGGTGTACTATAATACTGTAGTGTGTGTAAATAGGACCAAGATTCAAGTTGATATGTATTGCCCTGCCAATTTATTTTGTTTGTATAACCATATACAAACATACATACATACAAACATACACACACACACACACACACACACACACACACACACACACACACACACACACACATACACACTTATCTATACACACAAACTCATACACAGAAGCACATATACAAGTTCACATACACATACACGTTTTGTATGTGTACATATGTTTGTATAATAATAATAATAGGAGAGAGCAATACTACTAGCATTTATATGTATTTATGATAACAATAATAACAACAACACAACAACACACGTTTAGACGACATTTTCCCCGAGATCGGGGGTTGCCGTTTGGCTACCTATGATGAAACCGAAATACCCCTGGACGCCATCCACATCTGTCACTCGCCTCAGTATCACGCAACCCCGCTTTCACCCTGTCCTTCTCCACCTGCTCTCTCCATCCCAACCGCGGACGACCCCTTCCTACCACTCCTTCAACCTCGAGCTCCAACGCTATCAATACCATAACAATAATAAATAATAATAAATAATAAATGTGTTTTGTTAAGGACAGTGCAAGCAAAATATAGATATATTTATATTTACTAGTATTTATACTGTGCAGTGTGCCCTTGAGAATTGTAACAAATAAAAAAAAATAATAATAATAACGAAAACAATAATAACAATAACAATAACAAAAACCAGGACGGACCATATGTAAAGTTGGCAAAGAAGTTGGTAAATAGTGTTGCTGTGACGTCATTCGGCTTGACGTGATCACATGACGTTGTTGTTGTTGTTGTTGTTGTTGCTGCTGCTGAGGTGGAGGTGGCTGTTGTTGTTGTTGTTGTTGTAATTGTTGTTGTTGTTGTAATTGTTGTTGTTGCTGTAATTGCTGTTGCTGCTGGCGTAGATGATGTTGTTGGGGATGGTGTGGATGGTACGGAGCAGAAGTATATCGGTGCGGGTGGTTGTGAAAAACTGTGGTCGGGACGATGTGAGGTGGTGCGGCTTGCTGCACGGCCACTGTCGCCAACGAAACGTGATGATGATGATGATGATGATGAGGGTGCGAGAGACAAGCTGATAAATGTTGTGTTTGCTGCTGCTGCTGATGATGTTGTTGTTGCTGTTGATGATGTTGTTGCTGCTGTTGATGTTGTTGTTGATGCTGATGGTGTTGTTGTTGATGGGAAGCGAACGTAGCAAACTGATGTTGCGGGTGCGAAAACGTGGGAAATTGTTGCTGCTGGATGGCACAGGTTGGTATGTGTATGTTGCACTGAGATGGAAAGCACCAAGAAGATGTCGGGTGGTGGTGGTGGATGGGCACGTGCGTGTGGTGAGTCATACAGACGGGCACCGCGTATGTACCCATGTTGATGCTGGGCCCGGTCGAAGCTGGAACTATCTCCAACTGGGTTTGAATGGGAAATTACCATAATCCTTAGTACTATTTATAATATTAAGTGAAAAAAAAATTTTTAAATTGAAATTTGTTGAAGAAAAAGATATGAAGTTCAAACCTGCGCATAATTCTCAACACAATCAAACATTTTAACTACAATACCCCACTAATACAAACTAAATCAACATCAAATAATTAAACAAAAATAATTTCTCCATCTTGTTAAAAGTGAATTTAGAGTAAAATTTTAAAAAGCAGAACACTCAAACAATATCTACATATTCCCCATCAGTGACTGTCTTTTTCAATTTATAAACCATAGTTGTCTCACTACAGTAATAACGTCTGAAACCGACCATACACCACCTTATATACACATATATATACACACCTTTCTCTCTCTCTCTCTCTCTCTCTCTCTCTCTCTCTCTCACACACACACACACACACACACACGCACGCACATTATTACACACAGTATTTATACATGCATAAAATCATACGCGGTAAAATGCTCCATTTTAGTTTTGATAAAAACACTTCCTTACCTCTTAATAAAGCAACACACACAAACAATCAGAAACATACACACCTTGATACACACATACATACACGCACACACATACATACACGCACACACAAACACACACACACACACACGCACACAGACACATACGCACACGCGCGCACAGAGCTTGTTACATTTGCAAGCCATGCACAAAACAATGAAGACAATAATGAATTCCTCATCCAGGTAACTCTACATTTATATTTTTAGTTCAACTCTATTGATCATCAAATTTCAGAGCTGCCAACAAAGACAACAACAACAACAATAATAATAACAATAACAGCAATCATAATAACAACAATAATAACGATAATATTATTATTATTATATTAATATTATAACAAAAAATGCCAGCCCAACCTGGTCAACATCGATAAGGTATTGATGGGGTGTGGCTTGGAAGGGGTGCATGGGCATTATTGGCTGTCAGTATATTAAATCAACCAATCAGGTCGGTGGATGTATCAACCAGTCAACCAATCGGATCAATGGCAAACGGAACTACAATCAAAGTTCTACCGGGTTATATAATATTTTATCAAAAAAAATTTTTGTTACCTTATAGTTGTTATATTAATTCATTACCTTAATTATTATTTATTCCAAAGCTAGCCTGTTAACGTAATTAACATAATTATTCATGCACAAAACAGGAAAAGTACATTAAAGAAATGGTTGTGGTTAGGATGATGATGGAGACGACATCATTAAACACCAGACAAACCACCAGACAGACAGACAGACAGACAAACAGACAGACAGTCAGACTACTGCCACAAAAACAACAACAACAACATCAACCAACCAATAAGATGAGCATCAGCTAGATGAAGGAGAATTCTCATTGTTTGAACTTCTGTACTGAAAGGTGAGTGAGAAACGAATAATTAATTCTGATGAATTAAAAAAAATAATACAAATAAATAAAATATATATATAGCATTGAAACAAATGATAATTTAAATGGTGAAAAATATAAATCGGGGGGGGGGGGGAAGCAGAATTAGTATAACCTATTAACATAAGAACTACCATTCATCTAGACAACAACAATAAACAACCAGCAATCTTTTTTTCAAATGTTTTAAAAGGATGATGCTATAGCAATAGAGATAATTAATAATAAAAATAGAACAATTAATAATTTTATCCAATAATAAGGGCCAAAATCTATTATGACAGAATGGATGAAAATACTGATACAGTAATTCTAATAGTGTGTGTGTGTGTGTATGTGTGTATGTGTGTGTGTGTGTGTGTGTGTACGTATGTGCACGTGTGTATACGTGTGTGTGTGTGTGGTGTGTGTGTGTGGTGTGTGTGTGTGCAATTACATTTAGAAACAGGATTCAACTTAAATTGGTGTTGTAAATATAGTAGGTAGAAATCATATTTTTTAGGTCTTAATTTTGTTTAGTTTAGCTGTTGTTTTTCTTTTTGTTGTTTGCTGTTGTTGTTTTAATTGATTGTATGTTTGTTTGTTTGTATGTTTGTTTGTTTGTATGTATGTTTGTTTGTATGTTTGTTTATATTGGTGATGATACAGGCTGTGAGATGTGATCACGTTTAACAGCAGCTCTATTCAAATACTTCTCTGAATAGTTTAACGCTTGTAAAAATATTTAGTCATTCATCCTCTACATAGACAATGAACACAAGCACACACCTACATAAATTCAGAATATCACACCGACACACGCACACACGCACACAGACACACACATTCATTCACATCAATAAAACTAAGAATGAAAAATAGAAGCATGAACACACACACACACAAAATTCATCAAGAATTCATCAACAACCATTATACATAAAACAAATTTTTTAAAATTTAACCATCCCCTTCAAATTACATATAATAGTATGAGAACATTAATAGAAATTTGTCTGTAATTAAAGACACACACACACACACACAGACACGCACACAGACACGCACACAACAACGACAATATATAGCAGCAAAAAAATTAATTTTACATAAATCAGAAAGAATTCCTCATCAGATTCAA